AAATATAAAAAAGAGAAAAGGAAAAAGAAAAACACGCTTGCATTCTCTATTTACATAAAGTACTAATTTTTAAATATGTCAGAGGTTATCATCTGAATCTAAACACCAATTGATGATAAACCCTTATACGTCCAATACTTTTTTTTTTTTGCGCAAAGTCTCAGGGTCTATCCGACCGGAATTTAAATACATACATTGATTTTGATAGTTTTTGAAGTATAAAATGTGTTATATTAAATTGTCCCAAATGTCCATATAGCAACTGAAAAATTGAAGGCGCGACGGCGTGATGTGTGAGCTTTAAATGATCTTCTTAATGCTGCCAATGGGGTGTCTCTCAGATTCATGAGAAACCCTAAAAAAAGAGGCCCGATTACGTCTCTCCTTCCTTCGGCTGTGTTGCTTGCGTAGCCAATGAAGCATCGCTACAAATAAGACACACGGAACCAACACAGCATGGAAATAGAGCAAGGGAAAGGACGCGCGTTGATGACGGCGCAGAGATACAACTATTCGTACTCGATGGATGTCCGTGTTGTATCTGAAAAATTGAAGGCGCGGTGGCGTGAGGCGTGAACTGGCAATGCTCCTCTCTATGCTCGCTCCTCTCTCATTCCTTCGTTCTTACCTACTATTTTTCTTTCCTTTTTCATTCTCCTTCATTCGGACGAACACAGTGGGCCCCCTCCTCCTTGGATCCGCCCAAGTATGATGTCTGATTCGTTTTTTAGGATGCATTTGTGATCGCGATTACTTTTCTCTGAAGAATTTAGAGACAAATATTCATCAATTTTCCCGCAATTCATATTAGTTAAGAGGAAATTCGGCAAAGTCTGAAGGCTCATACTGCCGTGCTATGGAAGAACGCCGTACGAGCATTCAAGCGTTGCCAAATCTCCTTTGATAAAACACGAAAATAGGAAAATTCTGAAAAAATCTTATCAAATTTTTTAGACAATTCTGTTCACAATTTCATTTAAAACATCTGGAAATTGCAAGGTAAAATATGCATAACTTTCCGCAAAAATAAACATTTTATCGAGGGAATTTTGGCAACTCTCAAATGCTCATACGGCGTTCTTCCTTAGTACGGCAGCATACGACCTTTTTTTTCACGGCAGTTACATTTCTGATCGAGAAACTGCTTCCGCGGAGCACTGGAAAAAAAGTAGCTTGGATCTGGAGTCCAGACTCTTAAAAACATTGACAAGAATAAATACTCCTGATTCAATCGGAATTTTGCTTGAATCAAAAGGAGATCCGCTTAAATCAAGAAACTTGGCTCCTCGATTCAAGGAAAAATCCGATTGAATCAAGAGTATTTTTCTTGTCAATGTTATTTTGATTCTGTACTCTAAATCAAACCTCCTTTTTTCTTGCACTGGAAAATAAAACACATTGGATCCAGAGTCCAGACTCTTAAAAACATCGACAAGAAAAAATACTCTTGATTCAATCGGATTTTTGCTTAAATCAAGAACCAAGCCTCTCAATTTGAGCGAATTTCCTTTTGATTTAAGTTTGAGTCTGATTGAATCAAGAGTATATTTTCTTGTCAATGTTTCCAAGAGTCTGGACTCTAGATCCAATGTGTTTTTTTTCCAGTGAGTGAGTATTATACCTACTTCTTTGACAGCACTGCCGAGAGCCGCATCAACTCTCTCTGGAAACTGCGGCCGGAGCCGTCGGCCGTCGTCTAGGAGCAAGACCAGACGAGAACCGGGGACCGGAGACCCGGGACCGGAGACCGGGGGTTCCGGAGCGAGAAGTCGGATGGATGCGAGACCGCGGCGCTGGCTCCGGGACTGGATCGGCCGGGGCTGGAGTCGGTGGCGGTCGGTCTCAGACTCGGAGCTGGAGTCGACTCGGGCTGCAGCGACGACGACGACTCCGACTCGGTCTCGGCTCGAAAGACTGGTGTCTCGGTCTGGGTCTTGGGATCTCCGAGTGATCTTGTATTCTTGTTCCGCCAAGTTGCCCCCAAGTCGGTCAGTAGTCCGCTGAAAAGGCAAGTGGCCTACTCACTCCGCCCGCCGCCGCGCCGCGCTGCCGCAACGCCATTGCTTCGAACGCTTCGTGCAGGATAACGCGTCGCTCTCCTCGTCTCGCTTGCAGCGAGTTTAACAGGAAGGAACCGAGTTTGCTGACAAACAAAGGGTGTGCTCTTTGGTTGCTCGGGAGAGCTCTATAGACATTACTACAAAGAGAGAATTTTCAAGTAAAAAATTTGGTTATAATACGAGAAGTGACACACAAATAACCCGAGCCTCACAATTTTAAGAACATTTTTTTGACAATTGGACGCATTTATGCGAAAAGGTACTACGCACATAGGGTTTGCTTCAGACATAGTTTCTTTTGGCATAAATGCGTTCAATTTTGAAAATGCCAGCTAGGTTACTTAAAGAAATATAATTAAAAACGAGTGATGAATACCAACGTCGCAATCGAGGAAATGCTTTTTCCCAGTCTCTCCATTGTTTTCTGCGCTAACTTCATCGTTAACTCTACCGAATTCAACACAAAATTTGTGTTGGTTTGTGTTTCACTTCCTATATTAACCGATAGCAACACAAGAACACAAATATTTTTATCAGTGTATGCGTTTGGTTTATTTTATGAGGCAATATTTCGCTCTTTTAATATTCAAAAAGAGAGCTCTAAGTCATCAAATATTCAAAGGGATAAAAAAATTTTAGCTGTAGATTTCGTCGTTTCTTGGAGGAAGGATCGTAAAAGTATTCTAATGTTGCTAAATTGATCCGAACAGCTGGATTTCATGCATGAATGAAATGTACCTTCGCAATTTTTGTCCAAAATATTTCTGATTTTTGTATGAAATCAGAAGAAAAATCATTGAAATTTTCAGTTAGAAGAGCCCAAGATTCTCCCGGTCAACAATCAATTTTAAAAAGTTTGAAAATGTCGTTTCGTTCTTTCCTCGTGAAAGAAGCGACTATTTGACTAACTTGGCCAGGAATTAACAATTAATTGTGCGATTATTGAAATTAAAATTTTTGAGCAATAATTTTCCTACATGAAAAGCAATAAAGAATTATAAAATTGCAGGCCACTTGTTCGCTGAGAAAACTTGCCTCTTTACTGACGAATTCGAGTCATTTCATTTGTTGAGTATTATTAAATGTATGATCGTTTAGAAGAGAAAGAACCTCAGTACCTGGAAATTCAGAATCAAGATTATCACTACTGCCTACAGCTGCCTGTTTTTTACGTCAGTTTGTGGACGACCCTTTTGTTTTATGTTTATCATGCCAGGAACAAGGAAAAAAAGAGAGTGAAAACAATTTTTTGATCACAAAATATTTTATTATCGGTTATATAAACATTCATGAAAGGATCTCCTCGTGAAATTAAAATTAGGTATAATTATGATCGATCATAATCTACAGTTTTCTATGAAGCAGCATTTGGAGCCCCGTCCATTGGTGATGGATCGATCATAAAAATTCTTGTTATAAGCACAAATTCTAATTTTAATCCAGATTCGTAATTTTTGCATCTTTAGTTTGACCTCAGTTGAAAAAATAAGCAACTAAGATTGCAATGATGTAGGTAAGTCTCCACTCATTATTCACTTTTTTAGAGGAAAACCACAAGCAACAGTCTCTATTGAAATTTTCTGTGACTTCTCTTCACTCATTTTGAAAAGATCGCACAAAGTTGCAAGAGAAATTTTTGATTAGTTTGCTTTGAAGAAAATAGAACATAACTGGAGATTTTAAACATTGCATTTGAGCTACGCATTTTTCGTATTTAGCCATCGATATTCTGCTATCAATAAAATGTACATACTTTTCGAACATAAAAATGCAACGTAAGAAGCAAAAAAGTAGACCATGAGACTGTTTTGATAAATCACGATAAAAAAGGTTTGAATAGCCTTATGATTATTTTTAGGAGACTTTAACGCAGCTATAGAAAAAAAGGAAATAAAACGTTGCATCTGGGCGATGCCGTGTGATCACCGTTGCCAGATCATTTAAGTACTTTGGAAAAGCATAGGTGAAGATATGCAACTTAAAATTTCTTAATTCTATATTTTTAGAAATCTCTGAAAGTCTTACATATCTTAAAAAAAGAGAAAAAGATGGGGGCCTATGAGGACAACTTTCAATCATCACTTGCAGCCAAACGCATATACCCGTAGAGCGCTCACTGGAAAAAAAACACATTGGATCTAGAGTCCAGACTCTTGAAAACATTGACAAGAAAGAGGACTCTTGATTCAATCAGATTTAAGGTGATTCGATGGACGCCATATTTTGTGTGAGAACGGCATGCGATATATCGCATCAATTGGTTCCATATTTTCAGCTACTCGTCATTTTTCTCCTATTTTGAGATCGCACTTCTGTTGTCAGGAGTCTAAAGCACTCACTTGCCAATTTTAACAAAGAAATTCAACGTAATAAAGGCGTGGTTTTTTCAGAGAGAAAACATCGCATTCGATACTGATATCGAAACTGCACTCGAATGCGATATTTTCTCTCTGAAAAAACCACGCCTTTATTACGTTGAATTTCTTTGTTAAAATTGGTAAGTGAGTGCTTTAGACTCCTGACAACAAAATTTCGATCTCAAAATAGGAGAAAAATGACGAGTAGCTGAAAATATGGAACCAATTGATGCGATATATCGCATGCCGTTCTGACACAAAATATGGCGTCCATCGAATCACCTTAAGCTTAAATCAAAAGGAAATTCGCTCAAATTAAGAGGCTGGGTTCTTGATTTAAGCTTAAATCTGATTGAATCAAGAGTCTTTTTTCTTGTTGAAGTTTTTAAGAGTCTGGACTCTAGATCCAGTGTGTTTTTTTTCAGTGCTGCGAGATTTTTGGACATAATATTCGATTTATTGTAATATATCGGTCATCCTTTATGCGCACAGAATCCCCCAAATACTTTACGCGGTATCTATTTTGTTGCGAAAAATTAAAGCAGGGGATTTCTTTGAACAGAGATGAAGAGTACATAAGTTTCTATCGACCATACCCTCCGCCGTAACCACCCCCGTATCCGCCCCCACCACCTTCGTAATTCCCGTAACCTCCGTTACCAAAACCCCCACCTCCCCCACCGAATCCACCATAGCCTCCTCCATACCCCCCACCGTTGCCTCCTCCATACCCGTTGTATCCCGAATTATGATGCGGATGATGCCCCCACGAGTTCCCATAATTATTATTATACCCAGGGCTCGGCTGCTGATAAGATGGCTGATTCCACGAGGAACCCGCGCCGTAGGAATTGCTGTTAGCTGACGCACTATTCACTCCGAAATTTAAACCATACGCCGGACTGCCAAACTGCCCATTGACGGTATTCGCTGACGAGCTGGTTCCCTGACCACTAGCACTAGCTGTTGCCCCGTTTGCTTGAAAATTAGAGCCCCCACCTGGAGCACCGAACGAGCCCCTGGCATTAAAGGCCGATGCGGAGGTGCCGGAGTTTCCATAACCTAAAGAATTACCATTTGCTGACGCGCCATTCACAGAGAAGCCACCGCCGTTGACGCCCGATCCAAATTGGCTGTTGAATGTGCTCGCTGAGGATTCAGAGGACCCTCCATTGATGCTTTTACTGCTAGAAGTTGCTCCGTTTACATTGAAACTAGCGCTTCCTAGTGGAGTGGCACCGAATTGGCCTTGGGCTCCAAAGGTGTTCGCGGAGGTGCTGGAAAGGGCTTTTCTCATTCTGAGATATTGGGGAGAATGACCTAATTCCGTTCTGAGCGCCGAGTTTCTACTGAAAGACCCACCGGAATTAGCTCCAATTAAAGCTCCGGAATTTCCTCCCGCTATGGCTCCAGCGCCAGCACCCGCACCCGCACCAGCCAAGGCTCCAAGAAGACCACCTGCTAGGGTATTTATAGAGCCTCCAGCTCCCGAAGCATGCGGAAACCAGCCCTGGTTACCGAAATTATTTCCTTGCTTTCCATTTCTCGCAGAAAAACTAGAATAGGTCCTCTCATCGCTGAGCGGAACAGGACGGATACCCGAACTAGGTCCAACCGCAGATCTTGCTCCAGAGCTACTCTCTGAAAAAGCTCCGTTTGCATCAGTATTCATGTCTGCCACAGCTCCGGGACTACTTCCGATCATGGCTCCAAGAAAACCCCCACCTAAATTACCAATGGGGCCTCCAACTCCAGGAGCAAGTCCAAAGCCACCGTGACTGCCGAGAACGCCTCCTAATCCGTGCGGACGATTGAGGCCACCGCTTTGTAAGCCAAAACCTCCCATTCCGATTGGTCTTCTGTGAGGGTGTCCAAAACCAGGTGCTCCTCCGTAGGGGTGTCCAACCCCTCCGGGTCCAGGTGGCGCGAACGGATGTCCGAAATTGGATTCTGGATTCGGAGGATGTCCAAGACCGACAGATCCTCCACCTAGTGTCCCTGTAAGAGCGCCGATTCCTGAGACAAGAGGGGCGACAAGACCGCCTGTTGCTCCACCTGATAAAGTTCCAATGTTTGATCCGGTGGAAGATCCAGTGCCTCCTTGCCCACTAGACCCTGTTCCAGATGGTGAGCCTCCACTTGAGGTGAGCCCGCCGATGATACCTCCTTGGCCACCTAATACAGTGCCGGTTGTGCCTCCGGGTAACGTGGGTCTGTTCGCTTCAGAGCCAGATGACGAACTTCCAACAGAGCTTGATGCACCATTCACGCTTCCTTGTGTCCCTGAAGAACCACTGGAAGCACTCTCTTGCCCTCCCAGTTCTGCGTCAGGTCTGCTTGTTCCCGTCTCAGTATTTGTACTTGCAGTAGTGGTTAACCCTGCTTGTCCCACTCCGTTCGTGCTCCCAACATTTGTTTCAGAGAGACCACTTGCATTTGAACCTGTAGAGATATTTCCAGTGCTCCCTTGCTCTACAATTCCTGCGGTGGGTTTGCTTTCACTTGTTCCAGTAACTGTACTTTCAGTAGTGGGTGACTCCACCTCATCAGGCCCAGAATTTGTACTTGGGACAGTTGTTGGTCCAATTTGTCCCACTCCGTTCGGTCCACCAGAGTTTGATCCGGAGATACCGCCAGATTGTGTACCTGAAGAAACTATTGCAGAGCTTCCTTGTCCTCCGGGTCCTGTGCCAGGTCTTCCACCTGCGCTTGCAATCGCGGTTGGCCCATCAACATTTGCTCCAGGGAGACTGCCTGGATTTGTATTTGCTCCACCGTATGTTCCTGGACCTCCACCGGATGCTGCGCTCGCAGCTGCACCTCCATTGGATTCTGCGTTTGCAACTGCATTTCCACTGGATGCAAATGCAGAGGCAGGAGCGTGCAGACCTCCAGAATCACTTGCCGGTGCATCCACGTCGGCACTGGATCCCGCAATGGAATTGCCGTCTCCAACTTTATTCGGTCTGGGAATAGCACCCGTAGGAGCATTGGCTTCGCCCACATTCTCACCAAACCCTTCCTTTCTTGAACCGGCATTGCTATCAATTCCGGATTCAATGAATGCCTCTCCATGATTTTCCCCTTTCGTTTTGAATGTTCCACCGGCAGAAATGTCTAATCCATTGGCATTGCCCGCAGTTGCACTAGAACCAGAGTCGGCGGTGGTGTTGACTCTTTTGTTTAATCCACTATTACCTGTGTTGACGTCTTGTGCTGCATTGTCAGTAACTGCTCTCTCTCTACCTGAAATATCTCTAGCAGTTATTGGCACTGATTGTGCCACTGAATTTGTGCCATAATTTAATCTTGCCGCACCTTGTTTGGTTATATCAGAGCCTGAATTTCCACCAGTTTTAGATCCCTCAGAAGCCTCTGATTCTACAACTTTTTTTGCTGCAAAATCGGCTGAATTCTCCCCACTGTTTACATTTCTGTGCCCGCCAACGATTGATCCTCCTGCTGCACCAGAATCGCTAATTTTACCATCGAGTGGATTGCCTACTGGTCCTGCACTTGACTCAGCAGTTGAACTTGATTCAGCATTCGACTCACTGGCAGCTTTGATATCTTTTTGACTGGATTCTGCACTTACTCTTGAATCAGAACCCTCGTGTTCTCGCAACAGTGGTTCTTTCCCTGAAATATTCTGTGCTTCTGGTTTGATTTCTGAGCCCACTTGTTTATTTTTATTTGAGAGAATTGCTGGGTTTTCTTTGTCATTAGATTCATCTAATGCATCTTCGTTGCCTCCATTTACTACTGCTTCGGCTTTTGCAGTCAATTTTGCACTATCTAGTTCAGTTTCGTCACAGTCGGTGTTTGGAGTCGAATCCTGTCCCTCAGGGTCTGATACCACCGATGAATCGGCTTTCACGCTACCATGCCCATCAGCATTTGTTTCTGCAGTTGCAACAGCTTTTGCATTCGAACCTGCAACATTTTTCCCATCTACTGTAGCTTTTGCATTGGAGGCTGCAACATTTTGCCCATCTACTGTAGCTTTTGCTTCTACTCGTCTTTTTGGATGACTACCATCGGAGCTTGCCGATGCTGTGGCAACCGCGCGTGACGAAGTGACACTCCGGACCGGGCGATTGCCGAAATTGAAACCGTTGCTAAAAGCTCCTGACTGGCCGAACCCAAAATTGTTACCCAGGACATCTACGTTGGTACCAAAGCCATACGCATTCGCTGCAGAAGCTGCCAGGCTACCTCCGCTGTAACCACCGTTGACATTTTGGGATAAGGCGTTGGCAGCAGAACTGCTGAATCCGATGCTTGCGAGGCCAGGAATGCCAAAATTAGCTCTGAAAAAAATGACGGGGTAAGTTTTCGCGAATAAATTAAATTATTTTGTATTCTTTTCGCATATTTCAATAAGTTATTTCAGAGAATCAATTTCTTTTTCAAATTATTTCTCACGATTTTTAATACATCTAGAAGTTAAAAGATTAAGTATGGCAATGTCCAAAGAAAAATTCGACTTTTAAAATAGAGATTTCCTGAAGAGTTCATGAAATGTCTTTTGCTGGTTTTTAATATTCATTCTGATATTATTTTGCCACTGAGAAACATTAATCATTTGTATTCTAGAAACCATGTACAGGTTCAAAATTGTAAAATGTATCAGTGTAAATATTATGATAATGACAGGAAAAGCAGTGAGTGCATAACATTTACCCTCCCGATTCGGTTAGATGGATTTACTTACTGATAGTGATAAAAATATGAGAAGTGCGAAAAGCTTTAAGCTGATTGATGCCTACAATTCAAAACTATCATCACCGCTGGAGGTGATGTCTGAAAATTCTTGCGTGCCTCATAACCTCAGTCTTATCACTTGGAGCGCCCTTGATTGCTAATGAAATCAGAAACTGGTTATAGCACCTTGAGTCATCAAAGCAAGTCTAAATTTTTTTAATCTAGCAGCCCCGCTGACACGGCTTTTATTGTATGTGTTGGAGTCTAAACCCGAAAAGCGTTAGAAAGCGAGTAAACGATAGAAGCTAGTCTCGTCGAAAACAGTTAGTAAAAACTCAGGATAACATTTTTAGCGGGATTTCACGGTAAATTTGCATCACATCTAGTTGCAACAGCTATAGTCATCAACTTTAGGCCATGACGAAGCACCATTTTTGGTAAAAACTCGAAAACTTTATTTGAGGGGCTTGGAGGACCAGGCGCATAAGTGCAGTTTTTGCGATTTCGATAAATACACGTTTGAAGTTTTGAAATTACATGGATCTTAATGGCGGAGAGAAAGTTCAAACTGACTTATTGATACTTCAAAATTGGAATTTGGGAGCGATTTTTTCACAGAATATGCATTGATACTAGTTTTATGTGAAATCTTAATATCTCAATTATTTCAAAAACTGCACTTTGACCTCCAAGCCCCTCAATTCTACCATAATTTTACGAATAAAGGGTCCGGCCATAACAAGAGGTTGGCGTAGGAGGTATAGGGTGTTACTTCCAAACCACATATTCAAATTACTGAAATAAAAGTTTAAAGAAAGCAGAGAGTGATAGTTTGCTGATGATGTTTTTTTAAATCGATTTGATTTACCTTTTTCAGCCATGGAAATATTTTCTTAAAATTATGTAACTTAACTTTACGAAGACCGAAGCCTAGCGTTTGTATTTAAAGTGAACTGAGTTAAAGAATGTTTATTTTTTTTGAGAGAAACTGTATGTTTCAAAAGGTGTATTCTAAATGTATAGTAAAAGTAAGCTGGAAGTTTAAAATTAGTGAAATTTAGGTAACACTGATAACCAAGTGTATATCAGCCAATAAGTCTTTTTCGACAAGTTTCAAACCGCATCAATTTTGTGTAAGTGATATGCGTTACTTTCCTTTTAGGGAAATATTTGATTGACTAATTATAATTAAAAACTATCATAAGAAAAAACTTACGAGTTAGCTATGCTATTAGCTGCAGAACCGGCGATGTTAAAAAGACCTCTCTCCTGTATATTTATGTGATTTCTAGGAGGCGTTGACTCCTCACGATACTGATAAGTTCCTGCAGTCATTAAAAAGAGGATGTAACATAAATAAATACCGATCATTTGAAATTCAAAACTCTTTAGAGGCACCCAATCAAGCACAAGGTCGAATTGGTGTAGAATGTTGCGTGTTAAACTCCATAATAATTCAAGTCCTCAATAGGGATACAAATAGGAGTCATTGCAACCACGGTTACAAATCGAAGGCAAAAAGATGTCATAATATTATGATTTTCTTATTAATATTTTATTACGTGGTTACGCGCTGGTGTTATCATAGCATGATTATTGAATTTTCTTTTTTGCTGAAAAAAAGGAAGGTTTAATTTATTTGTTGTTTTTAATACTTCTAAAGTAAGGTCATATGAGGATTAGAACTATGAAACACACACGATTAAGACACGCCTCTCGAAACAATGAATTTCTATTTGCAAGTAATAGAAAGTGCCATCAGCTCTCATTTATTTTGAAAAATTAGCAGTTAAATCAGTTCTTATTGTCATTGAGAACGGACTGTTGAGTCCGGAATGTCTTTATACGTTACAAAAATGTAGGACCGATTAAAAGATTTTAACGTTGGCGCTCGTCAAAATTAATCTGTCGATCAATAATAGTTTAGTGTTAATAATAAAGTTTACATGGACAGGTACCATAGCGCACAATGACGAATTTTTCAGGAGAGCGATCGAGTTAGGTCGGAAAAGTGGAGATAACACGGGGACCCTCGCTTTAATCCAAAATAATAAGTTGCACGCGATTTAGTTCATCTTTGTGCTAATATGACTACATCTAGCAGTGAGGAACTACTATTTCTAGCCTATTTTAGAAACAACAATGAGCAATCCTTATCCCTATGCAGATAGGTGCTTCTATGGATGAGCCAAAATTAATGGTCCGTAATTGCAAAATGTAGTCCACTCAAGGGGGCAAATTATTACTGTAATACAAAAATGTTTTGTCCTGAACACGGCAAAATTAAAGTAGGAAAATAGTAGTTTCAAATCAAAATCAAGATTTTTTAGCCAAAAAATGCACCTGTCCGAACTAGTTGACTAAATCTTTTTTGTTAACATTCCTGTCTGAATGTTTGTGAAACGCTCTTTTAAGGAGTCACACCAATAAATCAATTTTGAATTGTTTGACTCTTCATCCACTGGACAAACACACTAAAGAGGAGATAAAACATAAGTTTATTTTGATACCACGTATGCCCAATTGCTCTTGACTCCACTTCCAAAAACGAGGTTTGAACCTGACGATGTATTGTTTATCAGCTATTGCTCCCGGAAAACTCACCGCTATGGTCTGTTAAAAAACTTATGACTTGGTAAATCGATATGTGGGATCAGGGACCGCGCCTTATTTGGACGTATTTCTGTCAAACGGAACTATGTGCATCAAGACATGAGCCCCGAGACCCATAATAATGTGTGCATAACAAGGTTCACGTCATAATGCACTTAGTTTTGTTTGGTAGAGATACGTCCATTTGTGCCCTATCGTCCCTTTAATCTCGAGCTTTATACATTAGCTTTTAAAAATCTAGCTCGCTTACCATATTGTGACTCCGGCAGTGAGAACAATCCACTTAAATTAAGCCAAATGAAAACCAATGGAAACATGACAAAAAAATAACGAAAATTTAGAATCACTGTCGCGACTGCCCGCTCTGTCGGGCTCGTGAAAATGGATGAGGTCGAAATGATCGTTAACGGATTTCGATTGATGATTCCGTGGGGGAAGTTATCGAGTAATTAATTGTCTGGGCGATATTAATTTTGTGATAAAGAAAGGGAAGACCTGCGATGATCGAAGAAAGATTTGCCTAATTCTACGGAAGAATGAAACACGCTTGCATTAATCATCATCACAATATCCTTCAACATCATGTCCATAGAACTGAATTCTTGCAAACTGATCGAGTGCATCGCGAAACATAAGTCGGAACAAGAAATTCGTTTTTTTATTTGACATTTTTTAAAGTATGTTATGCAAAACTGTAACCGAACGACTTTTTTTCTCTCCTTTTTGGTTAGTTCTTATTTTCCCTAAACTCGAATGACTTTATTTTTTTTTGGTTTACCCCTAAACTTTATAACCCTAAAGTTGAAAAAAAGGCAATGACAATGTCTCGCAGCGTTGGCTAGCAAAATTATTTAGCACGTATCGACTTCATGATTGGAATTATTTTAAAATGTTCCCTAAAGCGAATGAACTTCCAAACCGAACTGCCTCGATCAAGAGTTAAGAGTCCGTGAAACGGGCTGAAGTGTCGACTCGACTGCTAACTCCCATTCGCGCCTCACGCGTATCCGTTCACAGTTTGAAAACGCCTACAAATCAGAGGGTAGGCAGATGTCTTAACCTCTAGTTCTTCACGCTCCTAACATGCCTCCTGCATATGAAGGCGTTTTTTGTGAGTGAACAAGTGAACTATCACTTCATGTCTAACAATAAGCTATTGTAAACCCATTTTACTCGGTAGCATTGTATACACAGATTATTATACGTACAATTTTACGTTTTATGTAAAAAGTCTTAAGTGTAGATGTATATGAAATTTAAGAGATTTTTTTTTTAATAGGAATTTTTTCTAATAGAAATTTAAGGTGTAATCTAGAGATCGTGGAAGTAGAGAAGAAAAATTTGAAATGAGAAATATGTTGAAACGTAGTATCATTGTGAAAATGAACGCTAACTCGGAACTCAAAGAACAGGTTTTTAGAACTGGAAAAATTTTACACTAACGCCATGTCGGTTTACCTTCAATTTCAGTGCAGGCAGGACGAGTGTTCTCGTGGTCGAATTTTGTGAAATGAGACGCTCAATCAGGACACTCTAAATGAAGAGTTTTTACCGAATAAGAAGAGGCTGCTCAAACGCCATATCATTTTGCCTTCAATTTTTAGTGTATGCAACACAGTCTTCTAAATGGTCGAATAGTGGTATCATCCCCCCTATAATGGTCAAACGGTCGCTGTCGGCGAATTAGTTGTACACACAATAACTCCCCTCAATACAGCTTTCAACTAACTAAAACTTTTTAATGGTACGCAACCATGTCATATGGAAAGGTGCTCGAATTTGGATTTAAGTATTTATTAGGAAACGGTCGGTAAAGCAAGTACTCATTTTACACTGTTTTCCACTAAACTTTTTCTTGTTTATTAATTCCTCAACGGAGAAGAAAAAGATGAAAAACGAGAGAAAAAGAAGAAGAAGAAGAAGGAAGAAAGAGAACAGGGAAAAAGAAGAAGAGAGTGGAAGGAGGATGAACAAAAAGAAAGAAGTAAAGAGAAGAAAAATTGGAAGGAGAAAAAAGGAGGAAAGAAGAATAGAAGAAATTCAAATAAAGCAAGGAAGAAAAGGCAAAACATAGGGCAAAATAGACTTTAGAAAGAAGAAGGAATTAGGAGAAATAAGAAGTAGAAAATAAGGAGAAGATTGAGAAGAAAATGAAAAAAGAGAAAAAAGAATGAGAGATGAAAAAGAAGAAGATGAAGGGTAAGGAAGAAGCAAACAGGAAGAAGCAGGAAGGAGGAAGATGTAGCAAAGAGAGAGAAGAAAATGAAAAGAGAATAGAAAGAATTTAGGAGATGAGCAAGAATAATCTATGGAAGCAGATAAACGAGCAAAAAACAGCTTTCCCTAGCGCGTTGGTGTTAGAGATAAAAATTAAAAAAATATTTCAAACTGTCACGCAAAACTGTCTGCGTAAATGTTATAACTCATTTTGGAAGGGAAAAAAATCAACATATCTCAGTTTATGAACCTAAAAGCCTCTTGGCCTTCACTTGAGCCAAATGCATGACGCGCGAAGCTTAATTGCTCGCTCTTTTCCTGAAATTTGTGTTCCCTTTTCTGGGAAAAAGAAGGGCATGCAGGGAGAGATACAAAAAACGCATCGTTAAAGGGCAGGAGCTCCTCGATTTCCAACATTAGCATTTTGTAATTACGTTCAAGGATTCCATTTTTGAAATCAATTTTTGAAATAAATTTTTGTCAAATCATCAGTTGCCTCGATGGTTGCATTTGAAAAGCGACAGCCTATTCTTTATGGAGAAATGCATTGTGAGCAGTAATGAAGAGACCAGATTTGACATGTACTGTGATCTAGCGGGTGTTTCAGATTCATTCTCGCCCAAAAGTGACCGTTTTGAAATTCAGAATTGTTGGCATTTTTCTTGATAATTATTTAGGGTTTCCGGTGGTCAAAAACTCCAGGAAAATTCTTGCGACATCACAGGCATTAGTTTTTTCGATACTACCAATACAAAAAAGAATTGTGCAACAGGCCTACTATACGCATATAAATGCGCCAGAGACCCACCGCATTCTGGCCCGGGTATATATATATTTATAATCCAAAGTTTTTTTTACGTTTAATGCAAGGATATAACAAGTAAACAGCTCCGGCACGCAATCACCGGACAGGTAACCGATTTAATGTTTCATCAATAGTTTAATCCCCCAAAGTTGTGTGAATACAATTTTGGGGTTTAAAATCGAATGTCTCAGGGGACATAAAACTACGGCCGCTGATGAGAAAACCACAAAGTAGACGAGAATACGTCAACTGTATGGGGAGATACATCTATCCGCTCCTTTAGTTGACGTCCACCGTCTGTAGTTTTAACGTCTCGACATTAAAAATGAGCTCGCGGATTTGTTGAACTCGCCGATAAATCGTCAATGCTCTGACGTATGGGCGTATCTTGATTTCTACATGAGCCCTAGAAAGCACAGAATCATATGAGAGACAGGGCTCACACGGGAATTGAGATACGCCCTTACGTCAGAGGAGCAATGACATGTTACAATTTTTTACTTTGCCTCCTTGCGTGATTAAAATCGATTTAGTCACCATCAAAGTAACTTTTTGTATTATATTGATTATTCTGTATTTATTTTTTTTCAAATTACAGCATTTCCTTTTTCTGCGCGGTATCTCGATTACTTGATAAAAAATCATATAAAAAAGGAACAGCCATGTTAGGTGAAATTTATTCACTATATCCGTCAGAAATTAATTTTTAATCGGAGCTTGGTTCTAAAAAATGGACCCTTGCTAGCCGAAAAAGATGAAGAGATGGGATTGCATTATTACAGGCATAAGTATGAAACGACGTTCGTTTGAAGTGGGATTAATTATCCGTCGAGTGAGTAATTTTTTGGCAGGGAGCGGGAGGCGGTGACCGGGTTAACGTTGACCAGAATGATGCACGAGCAGCTGGTTTCCACTCGCGCTCAGTACCAAGGGAGGATCAGGTCATTTGTAAGTAAAGTATCAGAGTAGAAAGTGTACATAGTTGTACTCCAATTTTTGGTAGGTACTCCACGATATTTCCAAGGGTAAAAAAATAAAAATAGAAATAAAATAAACTGCGTCGTTAAGTGAAGGCTTAAAGTATATGGACGTATTTACGATAATTTTTTGCGAATGTAGGCAACCACACCACTGCTTTGTTGCTTAGCCTTCCAATAAACAACTAACTATGAACCAACTGACTGACTGACTGACTGACTGACTGACTGTAATACGTGTATGCTTTTCTCAGTATCAAAGTCGTAACCCTTAAAGACGCTGATTTACAATGCGATGTCGGTCATATTGATTAATATTTCAAATGCATAAGTTGGCAGCGGCACTTTTTTAGTGATTTTCGTTTCACACGTTGTCCCCCTTTTGGGCCCTAAGAGCTACCTAAATCGAGTTGTCCATTCTCTCCTCATAGAGGTACTCTAATTTCTTTCGGCAAGACAACATGGTGATGTTTTGACAAAAAACCGCGGCGCATCGTGTCGCATCAGTGACAGTTTGCGGACGCCTGGGGTGCGGACACGTGTTGCGACGGCGGCGTCGCGGGGACACGCGACCGAAGGACCGGACACGTGGCGCGAGTTAGCACTGTAATCGCCACCGGATATCCGATTCCTCGCGCCGGAAGTGACTGCGGCTCTGATTAATTGAGTCCTCCAAACCCGCCACGATTATCCGCTTATTAGCATTCTTCCCTCATTCCTTCCAATGGGAGTGGTAATGAGGGCGTGAAGAGGAAAAAAATTATATTCACTTTTTTATCAAAGGGGTGGACCGGTCGATCGATTTTTGGGAATTCGCTCATTCTAAGCGTGAGATCTCGTCGTATTTGATATCTCTCTTTTTTCTATCATATTCTATTAGATTTTTTGACGGTTTGTGAAGGGAGGGTAAGAACGAAGCGAATTTTATTTAAAGTTCCGAGCCTCCTTGGTAAGTTCCTTTATTTAATTTATATTTTGAGAAAAAAACTGATGAAAACTCTTATCAGCAGTTTTTCAAAAGAAAAGTCTCCAAATCAATATGATATTCGCGATTATAAAATGCGCAATATTGAAATTATCGTAGATGAATTTATCGGCAAGAGGTTTTTTAGCTGTTTCATAAAAAAATTATGACATTAACGTACCTCAAACCGAAGAATTAATGTAGGTATGAGAATCCGAATACACGTAGTGCCTTCCGCTTCCATGAAAAACACATTATTCGGAGACTTTCTTCTCCAAAAACTGACGATACAAGTCTTAATCGGTTCATTTTTCATGAGATATCGATATAATTTTTATGTCAGAGAATTAATAAAAATAAATTGAAAGTTCATATTCGCCTGTCACA